AGAGAATTTTCTTAGAAGAAATGTACGATGTAATGATGAATAGTTGATTTTTCATTGTTTACGCGGAAAAATATGAGAATTTTGTTCCATTCCAGTTATTTGGATAAAAAGAATTTCTCACTATTGCCCCATTAAGTACAAATCTCACACTTTTCTTAGTAGTAGAACAGATAAAGAGCTTCTCAAGAATACATAAGATGTAAGCTATGAAAAATTGACTTTTCATAGCTTTCGATACACCCGTCGATTTGTTGAAATCATCCAAATTCCCGGATTTATTATTGTGGAATTTCAAACAAGTAAAAGTATTTTCTTCCTCTGGTATTTCTCAACCAATCTTAATCCATCTTTAATGCACACAGAACCATAATTTACTCCTCTCAAATATTCTTTGTGTGAATTCACCCTCTGAAATCTGTCGGATTGAGAGTGCGTGAGTGCAAGTAATTGGGGCGAATATTGCTGAATTGCCCGAATTGCTGGGTCAGCATATTCTTCATCCAATCCACCCTTAAAACTTCAGCGACACTTTGGCTGGCGCGCGATGATTATGTCGCCAAATGACACGCGGATGTGAGGTGAAGTTTGAAATGGAGGGGAAATTGTGCAGCACATAATTTGAAATGACACGTGCATGCAGATGAAATATTATTTTAAACATGAGCGAATATGATGCAGAAGAGAGACTTTCCCATCTCATTTATGAGCCACTCTTCTTGCTCCATCAAACACAATTTTCCACGCTTAAACACTATCATTTGCCTCAAAACACACCTGCAATCTCTAATCTAATTTATTGTGCATCGCCAGGCAGTTCTTGGGCTATGAAAATCCCCCCCAAAATTGGGCGGAAAAATCAGGCAGTCATGTGAATAATTTGCACAATGTCACTGTGATTTGACAATTGTGGCACAATTGATAGTAAAAATTGACTGACTGCATAAATTATTCATATATTTATTATTCAATTGCACGAAAGGTGAACAAATTGCGACTGATTCACATTTATTTTTTTTGGATTTATGAACCGTGACATTCTTGTCGTATTTCAACCTTTTTTTTCAATTACAGTTTTGAAGCATCACGAGATTGAAAAACAGACGCATTGCGATCATTTTATCAGCAATTTGTATATTATTCACCACATTTTCCCATGCTCGAGATTCTCACTCTTCTCTTTTTGCTGAACAAATCGATTTTCAAGGGAAAATCTCAATTCGATTCACCTTGCTAAGACTCGATTGAGAGAGAAGTGGTTGCATTACAAGAACCGTCGTGGAGATTTGTTAACAAGTTATGAGGAGAAAAAGGTGCTTCGAGTGGGAAATCTAGAGAGGAAATAAAATGGAAATGGGCGGGAGGAACTCATGCCAGTATATCCGTTCGGATTTGGAAGGATCTCGTATTTATGGGTCAGTGAAATAGAACGGATACTGAAGCCATTTCCCCTGCTTTTGGGTGTCTTGGAGAAGCCAGAGTGCATTTAAGGGAGAAAAAAATTGACAGAAAGTTTCACTGCATGATAACCAATGGAACGTGAATGTCTTTGATTTCGGGTGAGTGAAAAGGCAACATTTCCGCCTGACATGATAGAATTTGAGGAACATCCATTGAACATTCACGGGAATTTGATTGACATTTCAATTGATTGAACTGTCTCGAAGCGCGGGGGGAGAAAATTGAAAAATTGAAACAATCCCAAGGAAAGTGCAAACCAACTTTATCAGTTAATCGATTGAGATTTATCCCAAATATTTGCAACTGATGGACATTTTTCACTCCACCAAAACACACACATTTTGCCTTGTGACATTTTCACCTCGCCCACTCTCGATTGTTGTCGTTGTTTTTTGATTGAAGCCTCGCGTCAGAATAAAATGTCGCTTTTCCGTAACTTTAACATTTACAGCCTCAAACTTCTTCTTGAGAAGGAAATTGCAAAATTTTGCACTCACATTTGAATAACACTTAAGGATTTTGAGAGGAGCAATTCCATAAATAGTTGGACTTTAGCCAAAGCACAGCAAGAGTTTTAGTGTGAATTATTGCGAAAATCTCCAACATTCTCAATTTTATGGTCTTGTGCCACTCAAATATCTCCGCCCAAATGCATTTTCTCGATGATACAAGACTCTTTCTCTCTCTCGTATTGCCATCATAAAGATGGCAACATAGTGAAATTCCGTACAGTCAGACAAATGATGCAAAATAACACTAGAATCATTCTACTTTTACGACAACAGGGCAATTTTGCGTCTCGCAACTCGAACTACATTTAAATTACATCCAATATGGCGGCTTTTCTAATGACGTCACGGTGAGTCTATGAAATATAATCACAATCGCACACGAAGCATCAAATCCAACGACCACAAAATGCTAAGATCTTAATATTAGGACTTAAAAAGATAATTTTGTCGATTTCAAACACAGCAGAATGCAAAAATTTAAGCCTTTCCTCGTTGCTGTTGAATGTTCTAGCTGAAACATACGCTTCACTGGAATTGTCTTGCGCTCTATCCCTGTATATATAAAGATGGGCGTTAGAACCACTTATGGTTGGTCGGCAAGCTGACAATCTGCCACCGTAAAAACGAAAACTTGTCTAGATATCTTCTTTAATGGAGAAGGCTGTATCCCTAAATGGGACGTTAAAGCCATATAAATAATTAAACTCATATCAATTAAATAAGATACTTCGAGATAACAACACTCACGTGAATTGTTTAAGCCCCGCCATACAAACTGGGAATGTATGTGTATTTGAATCTAGAGCATCGAAATTGTATCAGTTTCATCGTTATGGAACACATTTGCTCCAAGTGTCGCCTAAAATTTGGAGCTGTTTTTTGGGGTTTTGAGGTTAGCTTGCCTCTCAGCTACGCCAGAGCCCTCTGGAAACAAGCCCACAGCTAATTTATCTAACTTTTCATATCAGTGTTTCCCAGCCCGCATCCCACGTTTCCCTCCGTCCCACTATCGTTCGTGATGCTGCGACGAGATACTCTGAGCCGAGGGGTGACCGTCCGCACCCTCCTTCGCGTGCGTCGCCCCACTGCAAATATTTAAATGCACAGTAAACTGTGTACGTAGGGATTTCATTTTGATGTGCGCGTGCAACAACGGGAGGGAGAGATTTAAGCCAAAATGCACATGATCGGGAGGACGGACGGAAAAGGAGGGTCGATCACCCCATCGAGGGGAATTGCTATTGCTGTTTGCACAGCAATTATTGCTAGAAGCGACTTAAATTAATGTCTTCCTCATCTCTCTCTCTTTCTGCCTTTGTTTTTTCCTCCATTTGCCAATAAACACACCGAAAAGCCGATGACCCATTTTCGACAAGTGCCGAGTGACAACTCCGGGAGAGATGGGCTAATCGCTGACACTCCTAAGCTGTGCTAAGAGACGCCTTTGCGCCACTCTCATGGGCCCCCTCGGCATCTCTCAATCACAACCAGCGCCCGAGAGTGGCGGTCTCGAGGGAGACGCGCGCTCTCTAGTCAGTCGCCGGGAGGCGAACTGAGTAATAAAATGATCCGAGACAAAGAAACAAAAGCTTAATAATCGGCCAAATTGTTATCGAGCCATGAGAGCACAAAGAGGGACGCGCGATTCCACTTTTTACACAGCCACGAAGAGACTGATAAGGCGCGGCGTTTTGCGAAAATGTGTGGATGTTATTTTATGGAAATTATCCGCAGAGAAGCCAGAAACGATTATTTCTAATTGAATCTCCTCGGGAAGATGTGATAAAATATACCTGCAAAAACAGCACAAACTCTTCACTCTGACCTCAACACGACTCTTTGGAGAGTCAAAGCATTCCAACCTCAATGTGTGATTAATTAAAAGTGGTCTTTTGGCGCGTCGCCACGACGAAAGAGTCTCATTTTGATGCAATTGAGTGGAAATCTAGTGGAAATTGTGTCTCCAAAGCCACTCACACAAGATTCCAATTTGTCCCTTTCACGCCACCAATAAGACCTTAAATTTGACCCTATTTCAGGCCATTTGCTCCTGGGACTGTTCGTGCAATTCCCGGGGATTCTGCGGAAGACCTCATCATCCATGACGCAGTTCCCAAGAGAGCACTTGCCGAAGCCCATTAGAGATGATCTAATTAAAAACAAACACCACGAGCTTTCCGGGAATCTCACTCTGGCCGCCTTGTCAGCCGGCGCGCCCCTCGTGGGCCGCACACGGGCAGCCTGGCGCGGCGGCGAGGCGCAATTTGGGGGCCTGAGAAGAGAGACTTCAGGGCCAGAACTGGGCCTCATCCGAGCGTCACCCACACAAGAATTCCTGTTGCATCGCACGACAGCGCGCACAGTGGCAATAAATAGCCACGAAGATCCCGTGACTGCACCCGGGCAACGCCAGATCAGCGCCCAGGGCCCACAAGCATGCCACTGAGGAGCGAAAGCGCGCCCCACGGCGTCCGGAAAGGGAGTTCAACCAACCTTCTTTTTTGACAGAATTCTTCATGGTGTGTGTTTGTGTTGGTGGAGATACGGAATTCCCATCTCCAGAACCTCTATCCGGAGTGCAATTGTACATTTTCACTAAACACACTAATTACACTATCGATCTGTTCACTTATCCTCACCGAACCATAACGCAATCACCGTCTTTTTCACGATTTTAAGCGCAACACCAAAAACACACATACGCCATTCCAACATCCACTGCAACTCGCCAAGTGTCCACCGCGTGCGGCGCTGCGGGCGCTTCACTGTCGCGCACTTGACGTGGCGGCGTTTTTCGAATTGACCATATTGAAGAGTAATCCGTTGACCAGCCATTGCTATAATTGACATCATTTATTTCTCTCTTTAATTGTGCTGCAGCATTTCTTGATCGCTTTTTTGGACATAAAATACACGGAAAGCTTTTCTTAAATTCATAAAAAGTCTATTAAATAATGCTGACAGACGTTTTTCTCGCTCCTTTGGTGGGGAGGGAATTTTCTCCTCCATTGAGCAAATTGAGCTACAGTGTTGTCATTTTTCTCTTGTGCAGTGTTGCGATTGTTGTTTATCCTGTGGAAAAGCACCAAATATGCAATGAAGAGTGCTGCAAATAGTCAGAGTAGTGCGAAGATGAAAAAGGAGAAGCCCGTGGAACCCACGCGAACGTTTAGAATATAAGTATCTCCAGTATTTCCCTAGATTTTCCTCTGCAAAGCGCGACATAACCTCAAAATGTTGTTTGCAAGCAAAAAGTCTAATTTCCTCTCTTTTCCCGACTCCTTTACAGCCCACCAGATAGTGAGTTTGACGGGCATCAGCTTCGAGAAGAGGAACATCATTGGATCCGTGGAACTGACCATCGTTCCCACGTCTGACCGGTTGCGATTGTTGCGGCTGAACGCGAAGCAGTGCAGCATCTACAAAGTCAGCCTCAATGACCAGTACGAGGCCAAGTTCTTCTACTTCGATCCCTTCCTGGACATCTGCGAGAACGACCCGAAGACCAGGAGTCTCGAGGTGTTCTCCAAGCTTCACCTGGCGGCGGCGCAGAAGGTGGACGCGGACCTGAATGCCGGCGAACTGGCCATCATCATCCCCAACGAGGCCGCGCATCTCGTGGGCGAAGGCAGAGGGCTGCGCGTGAGCATCGAATTCTCGCTGGAGAATCCCGCCGGCGGCGTCCACTTCGCCATTCCGGAGGGCGAGGGCACGATGACAGAGCTGGCGGCGCACATGTACACGTACTGCCACGAGAACAGCTCCCGGCTGTGGTTCCCGTGCGTGGACAGCTTCGCCGAGCCGTGCACGTGGAAGCTGGAGTTCACGGTGGATGAGAGCATGACGGCCGTGAGCTGTGGCGATCTCGTGGAGGTCGTGATGACGCCGGATCTGCGCCAGAAGACCTTCCACTACGTCGTGTCGACGCCCGTGTGCGCCCCCAACATCGCCCTGGCCGTGGGACCCTTCGAGATCTACGTGGATCCGCACATGCACGAAGTCACGCACTTCTGCCTGCCGCAGCTGATGCCGCTGCTCAAGAACACCGTGCGATACATTCACGAGGCCTTCGAGTTCTACGAGGAAACGCTCTCCACAAGATATCCCTTCAGTTGCTACAAACAGGTACTGACCAATCACGCGCTTTCTGCGAAAAATCTAACATTGGAAAATCGTTCAAAATCCATTCGACTATGCAAAACCCAAAATCGTTATTTTTCAGGAGAAATTTGCCAAATTTCTCTTCAAAACTCTCAAAACACCTTCAAATTTCTCTGTAATAATTATTTTGTGAATATTTCAGTTGCTTTTTTGAAATTTTTGACTGAAATATGGCTAAATTTAAAGAAAAACTGAAGATATTATTTTCCAAAGTCGATTTTAACTAGTTTCTGAGACGATTTTGTTTAAAAGAAGTTTGCAAAATTGACTTTTCATACTTAATATGAACTTTTCTTTAAAGTTTTTCAAGTAAAAATTTAAAAGATATGAGAAATATTCAGTTTAAGTCTGAAAACATTGAAGGATCATTCTGAAAATTTACAATTATTTCTCGAAAAGACATTTTATACGATTGACTACAATTTGATGAAAATTTATTTAAAAAAAAAATTCTGAACAATTTTTAAAGAGTAAAAAGCGAATTTATCCGCTGAAAATCTTGAAAACATAAATGAATAGACAATATTTCCTTAATACTTGATCTTTAATCGGATATTTACGGTTTTACGAAAGGTTTTACGATAAAAACGAGTGTGAAATTGGAAAAACCTCCTAATTTTTGGACACAAGAGATTCTGTAATTAATGCTGAGGAAAATCTGTAGTCGAGAGAAGAGAAAACCCGTAAAATGGGTCTTAAATTCATCCTCAAATTCCTTTTTCTACCCACAAAATCTTCTAATTTCTCTAGTTAAACACAGATTCAAGTCTTGTGCCGTGAAATTCTCTGTCACGCTAATGACTTTCGCACCTTTCGCGTAGGTGTTTGTGGACGAGCTGCAAGTGGAAGTGAGCGCCTATTCCACAATGTCCATCCTGTCCACGCATCTTCTGCACTCGATTGCGATCGTGGATCAGACGTTCGTGACGCGCAAGATCATGTCGAAGGCGATCGCGGAGCAGTTCTTTGGCTGCTTCATCAGCATGCAGCACTGGTCGGACACGTGGCTGGCCAAGGGCATCGCCGAGTACCTGTGCGGGCTGTACTCGAAGAAGTGCTTCGGCAACAACGACTACCGCGAGTGGATCCAGTCGGAGCTGGCCGAGGTGGTGCACTATGAGGAGCAGTACGGCGGCATTGTGCTGGACTGCAGCCAGCCGCCGGCGCCGCTGCCCATGTCCTCGTCGCAGCCGCAAGCGGTGCAGCGTCAGCCGGAGATCCTGCACTACTTCCCCATCCGCAGTCTGCACACGATGTCGCCCAAGTATGTGGAGGCGCTGCGGCGGAAGGCGCATCTGGTGATCAGGATGCTGGAGCACAGGATTGGCCAGGAGTTGCTGCTGCAGGTGTTCAACAAGCAACTGGCGCTGGCCACAAATGCCGCCACCACGAAGATCGGCAGCGGCCTGTGGCATCATCTGCTGATCTCCACGGACGTCTTCACCAAGGCGATCTTCACGGTCACGGGCAAGGACATGTCTGTGTTCATGGATCAGTGGGTGCGCACCGGCGGACACGCCAAGTTCAGTCTCACGAGTGTGTTCAACAGGAAGAGGAACACGATTGAGCTGGAGATTCGCCAGGACTCGGTGAATCAGAAGGGCGTCCGGAAGTACGTGGGACCGCTTCTGGTGCAGCTCCAGGAGCTCGACGGGACGTTCAAGCACACGCTGCAGATTGAGAACACGGTGGTGAAGGCGGACATCACGTGCCACTCGAAGAGCAGGAGGAACAAGAAGAAGAAAATCCCTCTCTGCACGGGTGAGTCTCCAAGTTTATCCGTTTCAACGAGTTAAAGCGGTTTAAGCGCTTAAGAATGCTTAGATTTCAGACTGAAAGAATCGATTTCTGTCTTCATTTTCTGGTTTTGTCGGTGGAAAATGCATAGAAAAATTGTGAGGTTATGAAATCGACTTAGAAATCCTTTTTTGGGCTGATTTTAATCCTTCCAAGCCTGGAAATGAGTAAACATAGCGAATATCTCAATATTTCCACTAGAATTTTGCCACTTTAAAGCACAGACCGCTGAAATAACAAGATTGAAATGACATTTTTGAGGTTATGATTGACTTTTAAGCTTTTTCTTACTCAATATGAAGGTTTTTTGGACAAAAATACTCAAATTTGCCAAGAAAAAGAGAAATATTCTCAGCTTAAACATAAAGTTGGTAATTTTGAGGGTTATTTAATCACCAAAATTGGTCTTAAATCAATCACATAACCTAGAAAATCAATTTAAATTGATTTTTCTAAGCAGAATAATGTAGAAAAAGCTTCAATTTGTTGAAACAAAAGCCTTTTCAATGCAAATATTTCACTAACACTCCCACAAAGTGATGTTCACCACTTCTGACCATGATATTTGCCCCTTGGCGTGACTGTGTGTCTTCAACTTGAGCGATCTTGAGCGCTAATTGAATTGTGTTTCTTGCAGGCGAGGAAGTGGATATGGATTTGTCCTCGATGAATGACTCTCCAGTGCTCTGGATTCGCCTGGATCCGGAAATGACGATTCTCAGGGCGGTGAATGTGGAGCAGCCGGACTTCCAGTGGCAATTCCAGCTGCGCCACGAGAGAGACGTCACAGCGCAACTGGACGCAATTAGGGCGCTGGAGAAGTACGCGACGCCGGCGACGCGAATGGCGCTCACGGACACGATTGAGAATGAGCAGTGCTTCTTCAAGGTGCGCTGCCAGGCGGCCACGTGTCTGACGAAGGTGGCCAACGCCATGGCGACCAGTTGGCAAGGACCGCCAGCCATGCTGACGATCTTCCGGAAGCTCTTTGGCTCCTTCAGTGCGCCGCACATCATCAAGCAGAACAACTTCTCCAACTTCCAGCACTACTTCCTCCAGAAGACCATCCCTGTGGCCATGGCGGGTCTGAGGACGTCGCATGGCATCTGTCCGCCGGAGGTGATTCGCTTCCTGCTGGATTTGTTCAAGTACAATGACAATTCTCGGAATCACTACTCGGACAACTACTACAGAGCGGCACTGGTGGATGCGCTGGGCAATGCAATCACGCCGGTGATCTCGGTGATTCAGCAGGGATCAGCCATCACGGCGGAGAATCTCTCGCCGGACGCCAAGTGAGTCTTATTCGCTTGATTTCTGAGTGAAATGTGATTTGGAAATGCTCCATTTTCAGGCTTGTTCTGGAGGAAGTGACGCGTCTGTTGAATCTGGAGAAGCATCTGCCGTCGTACAAGTACTCAGTCTCTGTCTCCTGTCTGAAAGTGATCAGGAAGCTCCAAAAGTGTGGCCATTTGCCGCCCAGTCCGAACATTTATCGCAGTTATGCGGCTTATGGGCAGTATTTGGATCTCCGCGTGGCCGCGATGGAGTGTCTGGTGGACTTTGTGAAGGTTGACGGCCGATGGCAGGATCTGGAGCATCTGCTGGATCTGCTGGAGACAGATCCCGATCCAATGGCCAGACACTTGCTGGCGAGGCTGCTCATTGAGAATCCGCCCTTCGTGCGCGGCGACAGACATCGTCTGGACAAGGAGAAATTGGTGGAGAGGATCTGGATGACGATGAATTCTGGGCTGACATCGGATCCTGTGCTGCGATGTGATCTCGTGGATCTCTATTATGCCCTGTATGGACTGAAGAGACCATTCTGTCTGCCCACGCCTGAGCTTCAGGCCATCATGAAGCCACAAAAGATTCCACCAATTCCCAGAGCGATTTCTCCAAAAGTCATCCCTCCAATTCCCGCCTCACTTCCTGACCACCACGCAATTCCGCTGACTGGACTGTCTGGGGAGTCCTTCAGTGAGGCGCAGAAGCGACGGGCGGATCAGATGAGCGTGGAGACGCTGCTGAAGATGGAACCGAAGACGGAACCAATTGAACTGCCCGATGTTGATCTCATCAGTCCGCCTGTTCCGCTTCCCGTGGACACGCCGGTGGCCAAGAAGCCCAAGACAGAGTACTATTCGGACAATTCTGTGTCTCTGCCGGGAATTATGGGCGCCACTGGAAGCAATCCTGTCGGCTTTGAGCCGGGAATGTTCAAGCAAGAGGATGATCAGCAGTCAAAGACGAAAACGGATCAGCCAAAGGTGAGATTTTCCTTACTTTCTTTTGAAAACATTGAGTTGAAGAGATTTCTTTGTATTTTCAGCCCAAGAAGAGGAAGAAGGACAAGAAGAAGCACAAACACAAGCACAAGCATAAGCACAACAAGGACAAAGACAAGGACAAGGAGAGGAAGAAGGAGGAGAAGAAAGATCCCAATCTTGCGCGGGTTCTGCATGTCAAGGAAGAGACTCAGGAGACTCTCAGCTCTCCGGACAGTTCCAGTAACAGCAATCTTATCAATCTTGACTCCACTCTTTAGGATGGGGAACAGACGATGAAAGTGTATGAAGATCATGGTGAAAATAAAATGATAAACAAGAGATTTGACGTGTTTTTGGAAGTCCGCCATTTTGAATATTCCTAAAACATATTTTCCTCCTTTGCTCAGTCTCTATGGCGTGTATCAGCTCCAGATTTTGGGATGTTATTGCTGGTTTCAAGATCTTTCCAACGATCCATTGCTTGAGGACCTAGGTTCTTTCAGACCCTAGTTATGGATCAAAATTTGAAAATTTAAATTGTCATAACTCCGGTTCTAATTAATTGATAGGAATAATTTTGAGATCATTTAGAGAGTCTCTTAAAATGCCATCAAGCATCTCTAAAATTCAAATATTATGACTTGATACAACTACCGCTAGGGGCGCTAAAGTCGCTAAAACGAATTTCAAAATTTTAAAGTTGTATAATTCGAGATCCAAACGATGGATTGTCTTTAAATTTTAGTATGTTGTAGCTGACATCAAGACCTTAACAGTGATTCATCATTTATGGGGATTGAAATTATAGGAGCAGAAATATGGAGATTTAAAGTTTACACTTTACCGGCCGATATCTCCGCTGTTTACTAACCGATTTGAATAACATTTTAATATGTTGTAGTCCAGATCAGGATGTCTCTAAAAACAGGTCAAAACTTCCAATGGAAATAATAGAACCGGAGTTATTCCGGTGTTTCAAAGTATTGATTTTTCATAAGAAATAAATGTGAAAGAAGACATGAGAAATGTTGCATATAAAGACTAAAATGTTCTTTATTCAACTCTCTATCTTGCTATACAAAATAAAAGAAAGACAATGGTCTCAAATTATCATCATTGTTACAACTTTTTTTCTTTTGAGTTTCTCATTTTGCCTTTTATTGTAATGTTTTCTGTTAAGGATGTTGTTTTTTCAAGAACTTGTGTTTATTTTCCTTCACTTTGCAGTAATAAGAAATTGTTTTTCTGAAATAATTTAGATGTTAATCTCTCTCTCTTTCTCACTTTTTTTACCCTATAATTATATATTTTCACTAATATTTCCCAAGTTTTCACAAAAAAATATTGATGTTAAAAAATAATTATTATAAAGCAACAATATGTTCAATCGTTTTTCCTTCTTCATCATCATCTTCATCTCACATTTATAAGGTAAGAGCTAGATACTTTTATAGTTTATGTGTTTTTACTGTCGATAAACCTTGCATGATTCTCTCGAGGGATACATGAAAGAAAAGAAAATTAGAGGAATGCCTTTATCATCGTTATCTCTCTCTCTCTCTCTTTGATCTTTTTGGTGTCACAATGCGTGGCCTTCGTCTGCAATCCAGAGATGTCTTCTCATAGCCGCCGAGGAGCCGCGCAGCGTCCTTACATTGGACCATCTATTGTGCTGGTCTTCAGCGTGCAATAGTAGACGCTGCGCCCGAACAGGAAGAGTGCGATTAGGAAAGCCCCGATGTAAGCCACGTACATTCCGCCGTGACTCTGCAACAAGAAACCGCACAACATCAGCAATCGCAAGGCGTTAAAGCCCAAGAATAGTAATTAATAAGATGAATGATGTGAAGAAAGTCAATAATCGCCTCGTTGCAACTTAACGTTTTCATTAATTATATTGACGGCCACCTGGTGGCGTTAGTGTGAAGTACAACCGAAATACGAATGAGAAGGCGTTGCAAGACAAAGTTTAGAGTTTATTTAATGCGAATTTCAGCTGTCAGAAAGTCATTTGCTCTTTTAGGGTGCTTTTAGGGCAGAATATTCCAACTTCTGCCCAGTTTCTGGCCATTTTTCCACACAAGGAAGTTCGGAAATGTTCTTCAGTGGAAATTAAGCGCATTTTTCCGTGTTCCTCCGAAACTAATCTCAAGGAACTTCTAGGAGTTTTAAACGATTATCTAGGAAATTAATTCAACAGGGCGAAATAATGAATTCTAGTGACAAAACATCTTCATTCGCGACTGTTCTGTGAATTCTTGAAGGATTCTGCTGCCCAGAATATCCGGAAAGATATCTTTGTTATGATATTTCAGGAAAAATCGCATTTTCGTACTTACAAAGAAGAAACAGAAGCCAAAAGTACTTCTAACTGCTGTCTAAATGCAATTAATTTCCTTGGAAAGGGTCAAAGGACGTTCAGAAACACATAACCTCAATCTTGTGCATTAAAATATGCACAAATGGCCAGAAAAATCCAATAAAAATGTGTTTATCCACATTATTGTCTATTTCCTTAGTATTCACGTAAATTTTCTGGCGTTTAAAACGTTTCAGACTTCGCAAAAGATAAATTCCCCACATTCTTATAATATACTAATCGTAATCTTGCAACACCTTTTAGCAAATTCACATTTTCAGCACTAAAGAACCCCGGCAAAGAGCAATATTAATGCGTAATATTTCATCTCAAGACGTCTTTTTTGCTATTTAGTGTTTGTTTAGGCGTAATTTGTTAATATTTATTGGTATTTTTGCCAGAAATTTGAGTGAATTAATCGAATTCGAGAAGATACCGCCAAGAAAATGTAAGGAAAAGCTCACTCACCGCCGCATATGAGTATGTTCCGGCCGTGACGCCGATGCCGATGACCAGAAAGACGATGCCAATGATGAAGAACAAGATGCCGCGGCCGCGCGAGAACTCAGAACCGACACTGGACACTTTTCGGCAATGAGGGCATCGAGCAAGGGAGTTGTTGAGAGTGTTGAACTGCAATTGCGGCGGAAAAAGAGAAGAGAAGTGAGATTAGGACAGAGTGACAAAGTGTAGAGATCATATTTCATGTTTGCACTTCAGCTTCAAGCGCGGCGTTATTTGTTATAATTCAAAGCCAGCCTTATTTGCCCATTTTCTCACCCTCGCAAATACATAGCATTGATTGTGGAAGCCAAAATAGATGTAAAACTGAATGAAAAACACCACAATTGCATCATTTTGCAAGAACAGAGCAAGAAATTACGGTGCTAAAGCTAAAAACTTAAAGACTTCATTGAATTCTGTCACATTAAAGGCAATAAAATTGTTTCTAAGATCAGAAATTCAAGATTAACTGACATAATTATGCTCTTAATTAATTCCAGATTTTCCTGAAATATTCCCAGACTGTGAAAAGTTGATATTTTAGACCAAATACACTTGAAAACTACTAAAAAAAACCGACTTAAGATAATAATCTAGAGGGTGTTTTGAGAGTTTTGAAGTAAATTTGGCAAATTTCACAGCAATTTTGGACTTTGCATAGTTCTGATTCACCCATCGAAGCAAGATAATAACCATAATCAGTCAAGAAACCCCCTAAATAAATGTATATCGAATTTATAAGCCATAAAAATACGCTTTCTTCAGTAAAAACTCGCTGATTAGGAAGAAAGAACACCGATAAGTTTCCCAAGAACACAGCAATTGAGTAACTGTGTTGAAAAAGAGCTGAAAAATTTTCTGGAAACTATAAATTTTCCAAATAATCTCGTTCGTTAAACAATTCCCCGATTGATTTGTCACAAGTATTTATGCTTAATTGGCTCTTGAGGCTGAAATTAACGATTCTCCTGTCCGGCGATCAGGAGAGAGTGTGTGTGGGGGCTCACCAGAAAGGTGTCGGAGCAGTGGCCGCACGTGATGCGGCACATGCCGGGCATTGAGGGCACGGGCGGCGTCACGGGGCTGGGGGCCAGGTTGATGATCCTCTTGCAGTTGGGGCGCGGGCACGCGATGCGCTGCGAGGAGCTCTTGCAGATGAGGAGGCAGTTGCACGGGCAGCGCACGTACTTCTTGCCGGGGGGCGCGTTCCGGATGGGGGTTGCCTCGTTGCACTGATTGCACTTCACCACGTGCTGGTCCCGCTTGAAGGTGATGTCAATCATGCCCTGGCACACGCGGCACGTCACCATCGGCACGGCGCCCGCCTGGAAGGTGGGCGGGAGCTCCCCGGGCCCAATTGAGGACGCCGTGGTGGCGTTTCCGCCTGCAAAATGGGGGCGAAGCAGTTAGAGGGCTTCCCTGCGAATCGATACGCCGCGCACGGCGCCCAGCGATTGAGGGCAGACTCTGGCCATAGGTCAATAGTCAGGCTCTTGCGCCCAATCGCTCTCTCTCGCTCTCCCGGATGAGTCACCCAAACAAAGACTCCCCCAAACACACGAACCTTGGGCATTGCGCTCCACATCGCCGTCGTTCCCGTTGTAGTTGATCGCGTCGCCCTGGAGCAGATGCTGCGTCTCCTCAGCCATGTCGCCTTCCTGATGCCCGGACGCCACGCAGGAGTCGCACGGAAACGAGACTGCGGACTAAAAATAACAATATAGGCAGGATGACAAATCTCCCTCTCACGCACGCCTGATTTCCGCGGTTTCGCCACCAAAAGAACACCCCTACGGCCACTCTAGGCGCATCTACGTACTTTTCACGGTGTTTGGGGTGGGAAATGGCACTATTTATTGCCCAAATTCCGCATTAAATGAGAAAATGACAATAATTTTGCAAAATTTTGACATGAAGAACAAAAACTGGTGCGCGTGAAGTTGGCCGCGAACCGAGGGAGAAAGTTTGAGTGACAGCTACACTGCGAAAAAAAGATGGTGGCGGGAGCTTTCGAAAATTCAGTGGTAAAGTTTGCGAATGAAACAGGGGAATTTCTACAAAAACACCTTTATTAGCCATGCAGCCCTAGCACAGTGCACCGAGATAGGCGGCCTGATCGAGTGGCGTGCGTGAGGAGCAGAACAATTCGCCAGTGGCCACATTTGGCGCAAATGCGACGATGCGCAGGTCGCCATTGCCGGCAATTTGAAGAGCTGTGCTGAGCGGCGCGCCGGTCCTCAGATCTCCCGTGATGGGATTGTAGGGCGAACAGCGCGCCCTGGCAAGGATGCATCCTGTGGCGTTGCCCAGCAGAGCGATGCGGCCTGCGGAAGTGGCCGCGAAGGCGGGATTGACGGCCAGCGCTTGAGTCATGCACTCGTCCATCAACAGTTGGCTGTTTCGGCGCCGAATGCACTGCACGAAGGCACAGTGAGCGGTGCACACGGCTGTCGGCTGGAATGTGTTCACGCACGCCGCGTATGTGCTGTTCACGAGGTAGAGCGCCGCGCACTGCGCCAGAAAAGTCGCCAGAGCACCGTTAACGGCCGGCTGCTGGGCGGCGCGAAAGAAGCAACCGTAGCACGCGTCGCGTGAAGTCACGACGGTCTGCGTGGCGTTGCAGATGAAGTTGAAGAGTGCCATCAGGCGGTTCGTGTTGTTGGGGCATTTGTTGTGGGATTTGAATGCCGCGGCGGTGAACACGAGAAAAGCAACGACCAGCAATCGCATTGTCACTGAAGCGCAAATCGCCGTGTTTGACCAACTCAACCGCCATTTCCACCTTCGCGCCATTTAGTTTTTGCGCGCAGAGACGCTTTTTGCCCACACAATTCATTTATCAATGGAATGGAAACAGTTTATTGTAAGGGAACTGAAAGGGAAAGCGCATTGTGGGTTTAGTGTAATTTAATTTAGCAAGAAAAAACAATGTCGTATTTAGTTCGAATTATTTATTCTCTGCACACAAATTAAGAATGCTTTTCCGTTCATCAGTGAAATTACACTTAATCATGCCTTAAAAATCACTCTTATCAGGCATGAGTGAGCAGAAAATGCTTCATAAGGGGACAAGTGCTCCCTCAACCCCTTAAATTCATACGCCCTTGACAAAGGGGTGGAAAATTCAAACAACCGCGCGCTTTTGCTCGTGGGACAAATTTATCAGCTGATTTGGGACAAACACAGCAACAGAAAAAGTGTGGTTATACTTTGGCCGGCTGCGCATTCCAGTGCTTGTTTATCATGTTTTCCCAGTGAAAATGGATAAATTGTGGGAGAAAACGGTGGAAAACTTCCCTATCTTGGACAGGAAGGTAGAATCTGAGGATAAACTGAGAGAATTCCGGTGAAAAACTTCTATTATTGTGTAATTTCAGTTGATGATCGCGGAATCCTCTGAAGATGATCTCAAGACTGTTGTTGATGAGCTGATTCGCATGGATATTGCTGAGAATGTGTACGAGACGGTGTTTATTGAGATTGCGACGGAGTTGAGACAGAAAGTGGCGCCGAAGTTCTGGCTGAACTTTCGCCAGCACAGCGATCAGGATGACGGCTTTTGTCGCTTCCAGAAGGCCGTGTCGGATCTCCGGGAGGACTTCAGGCTCTTCTCCAGCATCGTCGATCGCCTCAAGGTGATGCGCAGTTGGTGTGACTTTCGGAAGATCGAGAATCGCGCCGATGAAGCTGAGCGATTCAGCGAAATCTTCCGGACGACGCTCTTGTCGCAATTGCCGGTGAACTTCAACGACATCGTCGTGGCTTTCTACAAGCTGTCGTTCAGGGTGTTCGCCAACAGTCACATGCACGAGGTGTCGGATCCGGACGACTTGCCGGAGATGGACGAGATGAAGTGCAGCGGTTGTCAGTACGAGGCGGACAGCTGCCGATGCCAGGAGCTGATCAACGCCTTCAACAGCACCAACAGACATCTCATCGAGATGGGCTTGCTGGATCGCCTGGCGGGCTTCACGCTCACGAATCTCATTGAGGAGCGCATCGAGACGTCCGTCCGGGAGATGTGCAAAGGCGTGTTCGCCTCGAACATCGACACGCTGGAGAAGTGGCTCAGCGCCATCGTGATCAACTGGCTGATCAGGATCTACAATCTCGGGTGCTTGAAGATCGACGAGGAGAATGCGAAGATGAAGGCCACAATTGCTGAATTCCACATGAAGCTGAACTTCTTCATGTACGAAACGTACGCCAATGTGATCATTGAGCAGTTCTTCGACATCATCATCGACTTCCCGGAGTCGCAGCCGGCCATTGATGATCTGAAGGTGTGCTTCGAGAAGGTGGATCTGCGGCCGCACCTCGTGCAGACGCTGAAAGTGGCGCTGGAGACGCGCCTTCTGCATCCCGGCGTGGACACGGCGGACATTCTCACCGGCTACGTGTCCGCGATCAAGGCGATCCGTCATCTGGACAGCAGCGGCGTCCTCCTGGAGACCATGACGGAGCCCGTGCGCGAGTACCTGCGCAGCCGCTGCGACACGGTGCGCTGCGTGGTCACGGGACTGATTGAGGACGGGCCCACGGATCTGGCCGAGGAGCTGGCCAAGAGTGAGGCGCTGAAGGAGGAGGGCGTCGCCGTGGTGGACGATCTGGCGAACTGGGAGGCGTGGATGCCGGATCCGGTGGACGCGAATCCCGCCAAGCTGAAGCCCAATCGCTCCGCTGACATCATCTCCATGGTCGTGGACATTTACGGGAGCAAGGAAGTGTTCGTGAATGAGTACAAGAACCTCCTGGCCGAGAGACTCCTGCTGCAGCTGGATCTGAACTCCGACAAGGAGATCAGGAATCTGGAGCTGCTGAAGCTCCGCTTCGGCGAGAGTGTTCTGCACAGCTGCGAAGTGATGCTGAAGGACATCAGCGACTCCAAGAGGATCAATGCGCGCATCCAGGGCGACACAAACTACTCCGACGCGAAGATGTTCGAGTTCTCCAGCCTGATTCTGTCGGCGCAGTTCTGGCCGGTGTTCAAGAAGGAGGATCTGGAGCTGCCCGAGGCCATTCAGGGGCAGTTCGAGAGCTACAGGAAGAGCTACGAGACGTTCAAGGGCAACAGGACGCTCGTGTGGCGTCCGGTGAGTGGGAAAGTGACGATGGATGTGGAAATCATGGGGAAGGTGACAGAATTCACCGTCACGCCAACGCAAGCGACCATTATCTGGCATTTCCAAGAGAAGACAGAGTGGAATCTCACGGATCTGGGCAATGTGATGAAGATTCCGCCGTCTGTGTTGCGTCGGAAGATCACTTATTGGCAATCGCACGGGCTGATCAAGGAGACAAGGAGTGGATCTTTCGTCCTGGTGGAGGAGACGACAGATTCGGACCTGGAGGAGATGCAAACGGAGCCACAGGACATCTGTGATGAGGACGAGGAGGCGGAAAATGTCGTGGCTTCGGCCAGTGATCAGCGCGAGGAGGAACTTCAGGTCTTCTGGTCATACATTGTCGGCATGCTGACAAATCTGGACTCCCTGCCGATCGAGAGGATCCACCAGATGCTGAAGATGTTCGCGTCGAATGAGAAGGGTGTGGAATTCTCCCTGGAGGAGCTGAAGCGCTTCCTGCAGACCAAAGTCCGGGAACATCAGCTAATCTTCGCGTCTGGAGTCTATCTTTTGCCCAAATAAACATTTATTCACCAACAATCTCCTCCTCTTCATTCTGAGCTGTCGCCTTGGACTCCTTCTTCCTGTTCTTCTTCTCCTGTTCGCTCTTCCGGAAGGCTGCGAGGAAATATTGGACGTCAGACGGATTGAAAACACGCGCGCGCTTCAGTCTCTTCTCACCTTCTTGGAATTCCTTCAGCGGCTCCAGGAAGTCCTCGAACTCCATCTCCTCCAGGGCGTCCAGGATGTCCTGGCCCGTGATGGCCTTCCGACTGTGCGATCTGGCGGTGTTTGTGGCGGAAGCGGTGAGATAGATGACAAAGACAGAAGCTGCTCTGCCCAGAACATTGCGCGCCTCTTTGCCCACATTCACGCCATCCGGCAGCGCGTCCTTCACTATCCTCTGCACTATGGCGCCCGGCAGGCTGAGATCCTCTATCTTGTCCACCATTTCCACGGGAAATTCACTGAGAAAAGCCTTTTGTTGTGAAGCCGGGAGGGAAAAAACGCGGCATAACCAAAATCCGCACTGTCAATTTTGTGTTTTTGCTTCGGAGATGCGAGCCGAAGAGGCCAAATGCCAGCCAAGAACACCCAGGAAAAGTCACTAATAGAATACAAAGTTCACGCAAAAACCCATGAATTCTGATTGAAGTGGAAAGAATGTGACGAATTCATGAGATTTTCCCGATTTTCCTTGATTTTTCACATCGCATTGAAGAGTCGCAGCGACCTTGTCAGCGACTCGCATCTCCGCGTTTTGTTTGAATTGCGCAATGCTTCATAATCGCGTTGCGGCTCCAGGAAATGTTGTTGGAAATCCTCTGTGATCTCGCTGTGTGAGAATCCAGCTGATAAGGTGAGTGGCGGCTGTTGAGAGAGATCTCCAGAGGTGATAATCCTTCCTGTTTGCTTCAGATGTCACCGGCTAGGAAGAGAAGTGCGAGCAGGAGAAGAAAAGCGTCTCCGCGGCGGGATTTGGCGAGGGAATTCCAGGAGAATCGCGAGAAGACAGCCAAGTCTGTGATGGAATTCAGGTTTATCAAGCGCAGAGTGAGGATTCTCAGTGAGGCGCAGCTCACGAGGGAAGACAGTTCTGGCATTGTCTACTGGATGAGTCGCGATGGGAGAGTTCAGGACAACTGGGCGATGCTCTTTGCCCAGAAGTTGGCCATCAAGAATCAAGCGCCTCTTCACGTTGTCTTCTGTCTGCTGCCGAAGTTCCTCGACGCCACTCTTCGGCACTTCAAGTTCCTCCTGGAAGGCCTGAAGGAGGTTTCCGCGGAGTGCACAGAGCTCGACATCCAGTTCCACGTCCTGAAGGGCGGTCAGGAGGCGCTGGTGGACTTTGTGGTGGAGCACAACATCGGAGGCGTTGTCTGTGACTTCAGTCCGCTGGATTTCTCCAAGGATTGGGTGGAGAAAGTGAGAAATGACCTTCCGGAAGACGTTCCTCTGTGTCAAGTCGATGCGCACAACATTATCCCGGTTTGGGTGGCTTCAGACAAAGTCGAGTACTCAGCCAGAACAATCCGCAAGAAGATCACCAGTAATTTGGAGGAATTCCTCACACCCTTTCCGCCTGTGATTGTTCATCCCTTCAAGGCGAGCTTCCAAGCTGAGGAGACCGTCTGGAGTGATCTTCTGAAGTACTTGAAGGTGGACAAGAAGGTTGGCGACGTGGATTGGGCCACGCCAGGCTACAAGAGCGCTCTGGCAGTGTTGCAGGACTTCACAGATCACCGCCTTGAGCGCTATGCCGAGAAGAGGAACGATCCGCTGGCCGATGCTCAGTCGAATCTCTCTCCTTGGCTGCATTTTGGTCAAATTTCCGCCCAGCGATGTGTTCTCCATGTGAATCTCTTCAAGGATCTCCACAAAGACAGTGTCGAAGCCTTCTGCGAGGAGGCAATCGTGCGGCGCGAGTTGTCGGATAACTTTTGCTTCTTCAGCGAACATCAGAGCACCTTCGAGGGATTGCACAACTGGGCCAGGACAACTCTGGACGCCCATCGGAAGGACAAGCGCGAGTTTGTCTACACGCGGAAGCAATTCGACGAGGCGAAGACGCACGACGACTTGTGGAATGCAGCTCAGCTGCAGATGAGGAACGAGGGCAAGATGCACGGCTTCCTCCGGATGTACTGGGCCAAGAAGATCCTGGAGTGGAGCCAGAGTCCCGAGGACGCCATTGCCATTGCCATCTACCTCAATGATCGCTACAGTCTGGACGGAAGGGATGCGAATGGCATTGTGGGAATTCTGGTGAGTTTCAAGCGTGGCTGGCAAAGAAATTCGAGATTTCGCTTCTTTTCTTCCTCCCATAATCCAGTGGTCAGTCGGCGGACTTCACGATGGGCCGTGGATGGAGCGTCCGGTGTACGGGAAGATTCGCTACATGGCCATGAGTGGATGCAAGAAGAAGTTCAATGTGAAGGAGTTTGTTGAGCGCTATGGAAAGCCATCACCGCAGGATGAAGCCAAGGATGCCAAGGATACGAAGAAGAGGAAGAGAAGGAACTAAAAAACCTTTTGTGCCAATTATTTGTCGAATAAAAGACGGATTTTTCTATATAACTTCTCGGTTAAGTGTTCATTCAAGACTGAAAGGCGTGAAATGCATTCATTTTATCCCATTTTTTCTTCCGTTTTATTAGGTTGTCCTTGGAATATGTTGAAGAGAGATGATAACAGATTTGGATAATCTGACAATCCGTGATTGAATCTCGGTTTGTAGCCCGGATCATTTGATCCACAGCCTTGAACTGAAAAAATTCACTCTCAGTCACTTAAGAAACACATAAGAAACAACAATCTTACCTCCAACGCCTGCCATGGCGATTAGGAAGATAGCCAGAGTGAGGATCTTGAAGAAATTCATTGCTAAATGATCACTTTTAACTGAATTTCACGGAAAATTGACTCTGCTTTATATGCAAATTCAGCTCACAAACAATTAATTCCTTTCAAATACCTTTGAAGCGCACGTGATTGTCGTAAGTTTAATGGAATTTCTCTAACAATGCGACGAAGTAAAATGCAAGGGGGTGATATTATGATCAGAAGTGGTGTACAACTTAACAGAAGTGCTTAAAAAGTGAAAATGTTTCAAATTTGCAATGTTTTTGATATATTTTTTGGTTAAGAACTTGAATTTATCTTAATTCGTCCTCAAAAAAGTCATCACGGTGATTTTCTAAGTTATGTGACTAATGAAAGCAAGATTTTGTAAGAAAATAACCTCCAAAAACATCAATTTACACACCTAAAGTGGAAAAATCCTTATTTATTCGTAGATTTAAGCATTTTCATACAACAAAGATGGCGATTTTAGTTTTTGGTTGGTAAAAACATGGTTGAAATTGCAGAAAATGTGGTTCAGATTTGAATAATGTTGATTTTAGAGCTTTTTCATCAGATTTTGAGTTTAAGCAGCAACTGTTTAAGGTCCCTCAATGTTGTTTTTTTAGGTTATGATCGGAAGAAACTTCCTAAAAAGCGATTAAGGGGGTTTTTTGGAAAAATATCAATTGAGAACTTCTTATCTTATTCAAAGTTGCTCATTTACTAAAGTCTTGACTAAAGTTTAAGAAGTGTTGGAAGTGTCAGGAAATAGTGTACAGATTTTAGCCATATTGTCTCCCCCTTGGAAAAATGCAATGAATACGCTTTATTGTCCAGAAGAATGATTAGAAATATGAAAATTCCAGCTAAAAGCTTCTGTAAAATTGAATATTTCATGAAAAATCCACAAAACCAGGACACAAGTAGAATATTAATTTCCCGGGAAGTTTCTTTATTATCCTTAAATACTCTTGGGGAACATTTTTACTGGATTATCGGGATTACTCAGCGTAAATACGCCAATTAGGATAGTCATTACACTGAATTGACTGAATTATAATCCCATTATTGGCATTACTTTTCTCCATCTCACCTTCACTGCTACTTTTGGCGAATCCGATAAGAACTTTTTCATAAATATCGGAAGGTAAGTTGATAATATGACATATGATATTTGATTCCTTCCATTCAGTTGGGCGCAAGATTAGAAATTGATTGCTAAAGAGGTGAAGGATATTCGCAAAATTTCTATGCCAAGGTTTTACATCTGATGGCAAATCTAATTGATATCCAATGAATGATCAGTGGAAATACAGATAAGCACTTGACCAGTTTGATAAGATTCTCTCTTTCTCTGGGACAGAATTCCTGGAAACTTGCAAAATAATTGTAAATCACCGCGTGTTTTTTTTTTCTTTCCGAGAACAATAAGTGTCTTTGGAGGACGTTTGCCCAATTGTTTGCGCGCCTATTGAGAGAGTTTTACCCCATCGAGAGCGGTGATTTTTACTTATCAGCTCTCGAAGTGTGGTGAGCAATTTTCTAAGCCGCTAATTGCCCTCGATGGAGTATAAAAGATCGGGAAAGTCGAGGTGGATCAACAAACAGTTCCAAACAGTGAACAAAGTTAGCAAACCGTCCAAGATGAATTCCTTCAAAGTCTGCATCGCTCTTGTCCTGTTCGCCGCTCTGGCTGTTGCTGATCCTGTGAGGAAACAGGCAGATTTCTCAGGTAATTAAGAGACTTCTTCTTTGCCTTCATAACCAAGGAAGAAGACTGATTTGTGAGGAGCTTCTTTTCAGGATCTGGAGTTGAGGACATTCCTGAACCAGTTGCCGTTCAACCGAGGGTCACTTGTGATCTTCTGGGCCCAACTGGATGGGGAGATGCGCTCTGTGCTGCTCACTGTATCGCAAAAGGACACTCTGGCGGATATTGTGACTCTCGCAAGGTCTGCACATGCAGATAATAAGCCGAAGGAGCAAATTATTGCGCTGGAAAGTATGTAAAATATGTCGAATAAACAGTGTTGAAAGTATTTGTCAAGTGAAACTTTAAGAGATCCTAAAGGCCTCAATAAAATAATCAAAATTTGAGAAAAAAAAAAAATAATAAATGATTATTATCCTTGTAAAATTGCAAAAAATTCTAAAATTGAATATTTTCGGCAAAATATTTAAATAAATCAGATTATATTTACAGTTTTTCTTAAATGTAATAAAAATTGAAATGTATTTAAGTTATTGATGATTTTCTCAACATATCGCCACCAGAGGGCAGCAAAGTTGGCGTGGGGGACGCTAAAAATATCTCATTTTTGCATAGTTTTCTCTCTGTTCTTATGCATTCTCACACTTTATGACTTCCTGACGTGATCCTGGACAGGAGAAAGGAAAAAGATTGGTTTCATAATCAGTTGATCAAGTTTGAAATACATGTAGAAGTTTCGATTGTATTTCAGATTAATCAGACGCGTTTTAAACTCCCCAAATTAGCCCAAAATTTGTAGCAATTTGTGGAGAAAATAATCAATATTTAAATAAAAATCATAAATGATTGAATAATCACAAAGTTAATGCTTTGAATTCACGAGTGATTTTCCCCTTGCTGTCTATAATTGACTTGACCAAGGTTGCATTTGTCGTTATCATCCCATAAATTAATGGAAAAATTCAAAGGATTAATGGAATTTCTCTTCAACACTTTCAATATTGCTCAATATCTTGGGTATTCAAATTCTCGCACAACCATCGGAAAGATTGAATCGCTCTTAGATTGAAGTTCTTCATGAAATTTGATGATAATTCTTAAGGGAATTGATTGATAGGTAAACGCAAGAAATCGCACTGATAATAAACCTTTGAATCACGAAAGAAAGAGAGAATATTGCGATAGGTCATTATCTTCTCGTCTTCGCTTCCAGTCTTTTGTATAATTTCTTCCCAAGAGAGCAATAAGCTTGGCAATAAGTATTAGTAAATCGAATAAAGAGTATCGCGCGAGACAATCGATGTTGACATTGAAGGGGTTGTTATCACTGCTGATTTTCTGACATAGAAAATCGTCGAGTGGCATTTCTCTCTCGCGCGCGGGAGATTTTCCGAGGTGGCGCTGACAGAAGTCCAAGATGTTAAATATTGAATTAAGAAGCATTATCGCAGGGCAAATACCCACTATCAACAAGAGAGGGACTTAATTGTGACAAGACAATGAGTGCGAAAGGCGGCCAGTACAAATGTGCGATCCGAAAAGTCTTAGTCTTGTGGAGTCTGTGCCAGTGGCGAGAAGTGCGGGTGAAATGGTCCAGGAAATTCTCGAGGATTCAGTGGCAGATGGCGGCGCGCCGCGTGCGCCGGAAGCCGTGCCGGATGAGGAGCAGCAGATGCTGCCGATGGCGGAGGAGAAGCCGAAGATCGAACAGATGGAACTGGAGATCGGTGATCATGAGATCCCTGTGACGGACGAAACGAGATGCGGTTATGGCTTCTGCTCAGGATCGATTCTTCAGAAGTGAGTGAAAATGCCTCGTTTTTGGATGGAGAAAATCCTGAGATTAGCAAGTCATTCCTCTAGACTTGTTTCTAGACGGAAAAATAAACAAGAGACCAACAGTCGCAAGGTTACTGATGACATACAACCCGCGTCTCTCCAACAGGTTCGCAAATAAGAAGATTTATGTTCTGCTATTTGGCGTGTCAGGAGCTTTCTTCAACAGCAGTTTCGCGTACTTCAACGGCACGATTTCGACGATTGAGAAGCGCTTCAAAATCCCCAGTCGCAATTCCGGATTCATTTCCGTTGGCAATGACATCAGTCTCATGCTGGTCTCCATCTGGATCACCTACTATGCCGGGAAGGGTCACAAGCCACGCTGGATGGCGGCGGGTTTGTTCATGCTGTCGGCCTTCTGTCTTCTCACTGCTCTGCCACACTTTATCTACGGCGGCGGAAGTGTTGAATCCTTCTCCGTTGAGCACGGTTTCAATCCAAATCCCGAGGAACTGCAGATCATGCTGGAGCTGGAGAAGAGGAAAACCCTGTGCAACGCTAATCTCCGCGATGCAGTCAAGTGCGAGGTGGACGAGGGCAATTGGGGTCCTCAGATCATCTTCTTCTGCGCTCAATTGATAGCTGGAGTCGGAGCGGCGTTGTATTCTTCCCTTGGAACTGCTTACATGGACGACAACGTGAAGAAGTCCAAAACTCCCGCTCTGATGAGTGCGTCTCTAGACAATTAGATCTTCCTTTCCTAACTGTCTTCCTTTCAGGTCTGTCTTTTTTCATTCGCATGCTGGGTCCGGCTTTCGGTTACGCCTTGGCCTCCTTCTCTGTCAACATGTTCGTCTCTCCGACACTGACCTCGACGATTACAAAGGCCGATCCTCGCTGGATTGGCGCCTGGTGGTTTGGCTGGTTCTTCCTTGGCATTGTGCTCTTCTTCTTCGCTTCTCTGATTTCTCTCTTTCCACGACAACTGCCTCGCGCTGCTGAGAGACGAAGATTGGCGGCGCTGAAGAGGAAGGAGGAGAAATCACCTGACGATCTGACAGAGGACAATCGACCGGCGAGTTTTGAGGACATGAAGATAACGCTCAAACGCCTATTCAGCAATAAGATCTTCATGATGAACAACTACGCCAGCATCTTTTACTTCTTCGGCTTCACTCCATATTGGATCTTCACGCCGAAGTACATGGAATCGCAGTACCAACAGACGGCTTCGGATTCGAAGTAAGTCTCTGAGAATCCCCTGATCTTGTGAGTTAGTTCATCAGCTTGGCTATAGCGGCGAGGCGGATTGAATTGAATGATTGCGTTGTTCCGCTGAGATTGACATTGCGGGTGGAAATTTTGCCTTAATTGACACGATATCTCTCTCTCTCTCTTCTCCCAATTTGACCATGAAGTCTGTACACGGGAAGCGTGGCGTTCGCCTTCACCGCCATTGGGATCCTGACGTCGGGCTTCGTGGTGTCACGGTACAAGCCAAGTGCCAGGAAGATGGCAGCGTGGAATTGCATTGTGGGCGCCATCACCACCCTCGGCTACTTGAGCTACACCCAAATTGGCTGTGCGGCAAATGACAATGCCGTGGTGATGAATGAGAACCCCCTCGATGGCACCCTCACGTCCTGCAACTCCGACTGCCACTGCGACTATGTGAAATATGCTCCGGTCTGCGGGGAGGACAAGCATACGTACATTTCCGCCTGTCACGCCGGCTGTGCGGGCCAAATTGACATCGGCACCAATGCCACTGGCAAGCTCTTCACCAACTGCAGCTGCATCGCCAGCCTCGCGAATGGGACGCTGGAGGGCGGCTTTGGGGGCACCGCAACGCCCGGAGCGTGTCCGGTGGACTGCAAGAGGGAGTTTCACATGTTCCTCATCGTTATGTGCATCCTGAAATTGCTCGGCTCCACGGGCATGGCCACAAACTTCCTCATCACCATCAGATGCATCGCCGAGAAGGACAAGACCATCTCTCTGGGCATCTCCTTCACCATCACCAGTCTCTTCGCCTTCATTCCCAGTCCCATCGTGTTCGGGGCGATTATGGACAGCACTTGCATTCTCTGGGGAAAAACGTGCTCCGGCACAGGCAATTGCTGGCGCTACGACGGACCATCCCTCAGGTATGCGCGCAATTAAGCAGCGAAAAACACCCCAATAAACACTCCCTTCCCCATTTTGCAGGTATTTCTTGAACACCGTCACCAGTCTCAGCATCGCAATCGCTGTCATCTTCGACCTGATTGTCTGGTATCTCGTGAAGGATCTCGTGGTGTTCGACGAGAAGGATGAAATCAAAGACACCGAGCAGGAGAAGAAGAAACCGAATGCCTGAAATATTACACCGTGTGTATGTGAGAAATAAAGTTCTAAAAACTATAAGGATAGAAAGAAATGGGGAAAAAGGTGTTGAAAAGCGCTGCTTTGCACGCAGAATATCCCCTGCATACATTCTGGCATGTAACAATGGCACGGAGGGAAGTTCAATAAACTCTCTTCTCATGTACACAAGTTCGCACATATGCGGAGAGCTGCAGAACTCACCAGCGAAACAGGCAAGATTAGGTGTCAATGTTTCGAGGGAAAGTTTCTATGCAGCCGAAGAATGGACATCAAATTACAAAGGGAAGAAAATATGCCTTAAATCTGTATAATATACAAAATCTCTTGAGTTTCTAAACAATATTTACCTAAGAATCCATTTGAAAGCGCTCTTTTTAAGTATCTTTCCGACCATAACCTAAAAATAACCCTTAAATATTACCAAAAGATGTTTCAGGACTTTGTTTAGAAGCATTCCAGATCACAAAATCATACCAATGAAGTTAAAATTACTAATTCAAAGTCAAAATTGTCCAGGAAGACTTCTAAGTACTCATTTTACAGGTCTAAATGATTATTTTTGAGGTTATGTTCAACCTTAACACAATTTGTAGGGCTTCTTGACTACCAAGGATCAGAATAACAATGTTTATTGCTTGAAAATGCTTAATTATGCCAATAACTGTCGATTGATTTCGTATAATGCGAATTATTCACTAAATGCGGCATAGATTTGTTACATAACCTATAAAATAATTTTTATGATTGTTTCTACGTAAAATATTAATAGAAATCAACGAAATTGGGCTAATTTGGCAGTAAAAGAAACACTCAGGGAGGGAATATTGTAATTTTTTGAACACTTCCTAATAACTTCCATTGAGCTGTACACCACTTTTGATCATATTATCTGCACCTTGGTGAGATAGCTATTTTCACGTCTAAATCTTTTGGTAAAAATGGCAAAATTCATGGTAAATTTCCCCCGAAACACTGAAGCCTGTGTTCGTGTTGTACCTTTTCTCTTTCCCACTCAATTCCTTCGACACTTTGGTTAAGTCCTTCAACGGAGTGCAGCATCCCTCGGTCGCACCCCAAACGTGGCCTCGGCACCACATGTGTTTCTGGGCAAAAAAGCCACCCAGCGCTGGAAAACTATCTAATTACTCTCTGGCTTTTTCTCCCCAACATTCTCGCTATACAATTCCCTTCTCTAATAGTCCTCGACGCCGCAGAGCTTTCTCTCCCTGCGCTGCGGATCCTCAGATGAATTGTGAAGTGGTTCGTGTGTGTGCGAACAGTGCGAAAATAGTGTTAAACTAATGGAAATTTATTGCAGAATGTGAGAAAATTCTTTTGCACTCCATTTTCACACACACACACACACATGCACAAAATGTGTTAATACCTCGGGAGCAAATTGCAAATTTATTTAACTAGCATCTTTGCTCCCCCTTTTTGCCGTAGGATTTCATTTTATTGCCGGTAATTGGCGAAATTATTTCATAACTCATTTAGGGGTCGAAATGGTTCTTGAAAGGGAGTTTTTGAAAGGTGTGAAGAAAGAAAAAGGCTTTCGCGTTGGCAATAAATGGTTATTTATCTTTTCAAAACTCTTTGACTTGATCTCTGAGCAAAATCAGTGAATTTACAATTTGTCACATGGATTTTGATTAATTTCCCAGACACTTTTCATTCGCTTCTCCATCGTGAAATGCAGTTCATTGCAATGGAAAAGGCATTATGAGTGTTCAGAGACTCTTTCATACGCATTTTCTTTTGTGCCATGGTGTGATATTTGCTCTTTATTCACACTCACCCCCCGTCAGTTCTCCTGGGGGTGTGGATGAGAATGCAAAATGCTCCAAGGGAGAGGGAGAGTGAGAGGGAGAGAAAATGGTTGTAAGGCTTGAATTGGGAGTGTTTTCAGCACCCTTGCACGCAAATTGTGGCTACTTGAAAGGTAGATTTTGCATTCTTTTATACTCCCCATCAGGAACACTCTTAACATGTGCTCCCCAACAGCACACCTTCATTTATCAGGCTCTCCCCTTTCTGCCTATTTCAGACTAATTCCGTTTCAATTAATCTAAGTGATTATTACGAAAAAGCTGACAGTGTGAGTGCTGGAAAAGAGTCAATATTCATTCGCGTATATATTCACGAAAAGGTGAATTTCACACCACCCTAAAAACCCTCAAACAACCCCCCCAATGCGGAGTGTCTCTCCGTCATTTTCCCCGGGAAGTCGTAATGAAAAATGTCTCTTGACGCCTTCGTTGCAGCTCACAATTGACTCTTGGGTGAGGAAAATCCTCCAGGACGACGAGATGTTGGAAGAGAAATTTTGCACCTAGACGAACACAGAATGTCAATTATGTGCTCATGTCCACGGAATTATGCAATTTATGCACACCATCGTCTACTAATCATGGTGTTGAGGAGGAAATTATGATAATTACATTCTCGCGTCAGAAGGTGGCCGAAGTAGCAAATTCTTGGTGTTAAAATGTCATACAATAAAGTGTATTATAGACAAGATTAGAAATTATGTCATAATAAACTTGGCCTCAAATTGTATTTCTGATAATGTAAAAAAAATTGAAAACAATCTAATCTCCGGAGGTTATTGCTCTGTGCGATGATATCGTAATCTTGCCAGAAGCTCGAGTGTTCATTTTTGCAGATAAGAATGTATTGTATTCGATGTTGTAACATATTTTTGACCTTTTGAATGATTTTGAGCGATTTCTCTTAATTCGGAAAGTCTCTGGAGCTGTGAAAGATCTTGCCAAGGGGTAGATAATTCAGTTAGAAGTGGTGTACAGTGCAGCAGAAGTACTTAAGAAGTGTTGAATGATTGACTAATCATCCTGATTCTTAGGATTTGTCTTGAATTGCAAGAAGAAACCATCTTTTTCTAGGTTATGTAACGAATCTGAGACAGATTATGTGAATATTTCGCATTCTAGCACATCAATTCTTATGCTAAAGTCGCCAAGATTGCTAGTAATTGACAGGATTATTCATTTTCATGTGATAAAAATTGCTATTCTGAAACTGTGATTCCAAAACACAGTGAAAATTGAACTAAAATCGAACATAACCTCAAAAATAGTCATTTGAACTCGAAAAACGTTTCTTTAAAATACTTTCTGTGTGATTTTAACTCTGAATCAGCAATTTTGAGTTCATTGGCAAATCATAAAAGATTAGAAAGCTTCCAATTGAGGTCTTTTAAGATTTTTCAGTGATATTTTTGAGTTTATGGGCGGAAAAGACGTTGAAAAAAGCTGTTTTAAGTGGATTTTTACAGAAATATTGCATGAAAACTAAAGTGATTTGTGAAACAGTCTAAAAGTTTGAAGTGCCGGAAGTGTTTAGGAAGTGATGTAGAGATAAGGAGCGTTACTATCTCCCCCTTGGATCTTGCAAAAGGATCCACTACAATGTCAGCTATCGTGACACAGAATAGAGTTGCACGGACATTCGCATTCTCTCATGAGGTCATGCGATGCACTTGTGTGAAATTCTCAAGTCCATGAATCAAATGATGCCGTATTGTTCACACATGGTCGTCGGGGTGCGAGAAATCATGGCGAAAGCAGCTTTAGAAATTCATTTCACACCCAGAGAGTGTTTGTGTCCCGAGCGACACCAGATACACTCAGTCGAGAGGGTGTGTTTGCCGCTGGAGTGGCGCGCAAAGGGTTGGGCGGCGGGTTCTCAGTTTACACATTCTTGTCAATCAACATCCCAGAGACGAGTCCTTCAGGGGTGTCGTCGACGAGTGTGAATTAGGCGCGCTCGCAGCGAATGTGGAACTCGCGGCTGAATTAATCCACCAGCACGAATGGATGGCGAAGAGGGCTTTTTTTCTGCTGAACACAGGAGAGAAAATGCAGTTCGCGATTAAGTGCGTGGCTGGGGAAGTAATAGGCTCGAGGCGGGAGAAAAATCGCTTCGTCTCGTGCGATCAATGCGAAATTTACACATGAATTTACACATGGTCTGGCGATTTTGTCAGTCAATTACTCCAACACAGGTTCGCTGGCTGAGCACCCCCTTTTGGTGTGCTCACATGCTGGTATTTTTCAACACGCACAGTCACGATGAAAGTCTGAACAACTTTTCTGCAAATGACAAATAAGCTTGTGAGCATATCTATTTCCCGCATTTTGCTGGTGTGTTTTTTTTTTCAGCAAAAACACACCGAGTTTGGTTGGAAAAATAAGCAAAATGAAAACTCGTGAAGCTCAAAGTTCTGCTACGTGTCAAAAGACAAACACAGTGCGCTGCTTCTATGCAGGCAATTGAGGTTTCCATCAAAAGGATACATATCTCTCTAGGTATCAAAATATTGCCTGTATAATACAGCATTATATATTGATCTCTCATCGTACAATTTCGTGCTCAATTTGGAGGCAGAGTTCACAAAGTGTGTGTGTTTGTGTGTATTTTGATAGAAATCTCGGTGTGTAACAAATTATCTCTCATTAGAGATTTATTGATGGAATGGCTTAGCCGAGAGTGAATCAATAGCCGGCCCCCGAGTGAGTTAAAAGTGTCCCTGGCTGTGGTTTGTCCTATTTGTTTAGGACATCATAAAGCGGATATTACAACTGATGAGATCCTGATGACGCTGTTATGAGCCTCTTCCGCCAAGGAGGAGAAATTGCCGTCTCTTCTAATGTGCACACACCATTGAGTTTTGCGATATACTCTCTCGGCAAAAGCACTCCACCAACGATGGCGGAGGAGAAAAAAAGTAAACCCAAGTGATGGAGTCTCAATGTGATGGACTTCCCTTAGAGATACCATCAATTCAGACACGGTAAATGGAATAACAAATAAATGTGTCAAGTGCATTCGAAAGCATCTTTCAGAGGGATAAATTTAAAACGATTTAGTGAATGGTCGCTTCATTTACTCAAAGAAACGCTGAGAGAGACATCATCAAAAGGATTTTAAATCAACCCATTTGCCCGTTCACTTTTTCCTCAGCTGGAAAATACTTATGCCCAGAGGTTAGAGGATTCCCATGTCCTTTGAAACACTCTCTATTCTAATGCATATTCTCCCACAATTTCACTCTCTCTCTCTCTTTTTCTGTGGGTCAAATACAACAGCTCCTGGCAATTGGGATCGTATTCAAATTACAACCCCACCAAAGGGGGGAATATTATGGTGATAAATGGTGTACAGGTCAATAGAAGTATTTGTGCGCCCAAAAGTCACTTTGAACAGAAATTTATACAATATTTGGACACAAAGAATTGTTCTT